TCAGCTCAGGTCATGATCCCAGGGTCCTGGGATCGGGTCCCGCATCAGGCTCCCTGCTCAGAGGGGATCCTGCTTCTCCCTCTGCCTCTCTCTCTTTCTCTCTCATGAGTAAATAAATAAAATCCTTTAAAAAAATGCCCAGTTTAGATCTTAAAAGTTCTTATCACAAGGAAAAAAAAGTTGTAACTATGTGAGGTGACGGATGTTAACTAAACTTATTGTGGTAATCATTTTATAACATATACATATATCATTAGGTTGTACACCTTAAACTTACACAATGTTGCATGTCAATTATATCTCAACAAAACTGGGGGGGGAATCAAGTCTTATACCTTAAATATATACAATTTTTGTCAGTTTTACCTCAATAAAGACAGAAAAAAGAATGAGTAGAAGTCTTACCATTAGTCATATTATGTGTAGGAAAAGAGCATAAGAAAAGCAGGAAATTGAGTTTAGAGATAACGAAGCTGAATAAGAAGTGCAAAATATTGGGAAGTAACAATTTATGTAAAATCATACAGTGTGGCTCCTACCCCAATTAAAGATTTCCTGGGTTAGAACTGCATTAAAAATGCAACTTACCATTGCCCACAAATATCTCCCACCCTAGGTTATAACTGGCATATCTAAGAAATGAATACAGAGAGCTGATGAAAGAGAAAAAGCATAGAATTTAAAACAGAATCCAAAGGGATAAAAAGTTAAACTGAAAAATTGATCAGAACACTCAGTTTTACATTTAATGAAATTTCATTACCCCCCTTTTAAAACACTTAAAAATAGGAAAAACAACCAATGTCACTACTCTGTACCTGGGACGTCCCAATTAGGTTTTGAAGAAATAGCCTGTTTTTTTGGTGTTTGAGAACTAAAGATACTCTCATCCATCATCATCCAGAATCTTGAGCATCTGCCAAGACGGGGAAGTAAAATCTAAGAGATACCACACTACAGATTATATACATTGTAACTCAGCTTTCAAAAATATTTTATTTAAATCTTTATTAAATTTCTCTGCAAAAATTAAAAACTCATATCAGTGTTAACTTCCTATGAATCTCCCCATATCTTAATTCATGTTCATATAAACATATATGCAAATGGAGTCAACCTACACACATTATTCTGCAACTTGATTTCTTCACCTAATATCATGCGCATCACTCCAGGTCAAAGGACATCATTCTAATGCATTATCACAAAAGAGTGGATGAATTACTGCATATTCAACCAATTCCTTAACAATGGATATTTGGTTTGTTTCCAGCTTTTTGCCATTAGTTGAATGGTGTTATAATAAACATCTTTGTACATGATGAGGATTTTATTTCTCTAGGATAGATTTCCAAAAGTGAAACTGGCAAGTCAAGAGAAAAAGAAAATATGTATTTTTAATGTTAATGAAAAATTGTGATCTCTTTCCCAAAAATTTGTAATCAGTCACATTCTGACCAGGGATGTCTGAGTTCTATTTTCCCCACACTCTCACTGGTGCTACAAACAGTAGCTACTGAGAAAAACAGTAATGAGAAAAGTAGTAGCTAACTCTTTTTGGTCTGTGTAATGGGAAAAGTAATATCTAAGTCTGGCTTTGATTTCATTTCCCCAACACCTAGTGAGACTGAGCATTTCTTATAGGTTTCTTGGTCTTTTGAACTTACTCTTCTGTGAATTACTCATTTTCCATCCCGGTGGTTTGTCCTTTTCTTATTCAATTTCAATTCAAGTAGGTGCTTTTTGTCTATTAATGTTTTTCACCTGCCATTTGTGTTGAAAAAAAAAATGTTTTCTCAGTCTACTTGTTCTTGCTAACACCCAATTCATTCATCCTGTCCCCTAAAATTATATCCTGAATCTGACCACTTCTCACTTCATCAGGTAATCCAAGCATTCACCATAGCTCACCTGTATGGCTGTGATAGCCTCCAAAGAGAGCTTCTTGATCTCATTCCCCACTGTCAGCCCACTAAGTCAGGATCATACTTTTGTTTTCTCTAATTATTTTTTAATTTTATTTTTAGAGAGCACACAAGCATAGCGGTTGGGGCAGAGGGGAGAGAGAGAGAATATCAAACAGGCCCCATGCCCAGTGCAGAGCCCGATACAGGCTTGATCTCACCACCCTGAGATCACGACCTAAGCTGAAACCAAGAGTCAGTCGCTTAACCAACTGAACCACCCAGGTGACCCAGAATCATACTTTTAGATCATGTTACTTCTCTGCTCAAGACCCTCCAAAGGTCTTCCAATCATTTCTGTGTAAAAGTCCAAAGCTCTCAGGACCTTCCAGACCTCATAGTGTGCAGCTTCTGGCTTCTCCTCCAGCCTCATTTCCCACACTCATTGCTGCATCCACACTGCAGCCACATTGTCCCTCATGCCCACCAAGCATGTTCCCACTTCAGGGTCTGCCTGGAACACTCTCCCTGAAACATTTGCACAACTCACTTCCTCAATTCTTTAAGACGTCCGCTAAAATAGAACTACCCTAACTAAGACACTACTTCCCCACTCTCTATCCCTTTGTCCTGATTTATTTTTCTTCATACCATTTATCCTTACCTCACATTACATATTTATGACT